TCCAGGTCCACAAAAGTCATCGCCTCTACTGCCAGAGAGACAGCAAAGGAGGGGGCTTCCACCTTGACAATGACAATAACTGATTTGATAATTGAACATATCTGATTGTATTTCCTTTTCTCCATATTACATTCACTCCGTTGAAATTATAAATCAGATCCAGATTAAATTCAAGTTTGCTCAAATGTAATCAATATTCAGTATACATACTCGTTCTACGACGACCCACTTTTTGGCTCTGACCCACTAACAGCAATGAAAAACAACTTTGGGGTGTTGATGTGAAACAAGGTCCACACATATACAGTGATTGCTAAAGCCCATTATTACCAACTATTATTAATTATAAATAGTGCATATTAAATGTGCACATTACACTTTGTTCACTTGTGTTACCTTGTTTAGCCAATCAGAGATGTAAGTATATCTAGGACGTTAGTGTATTGTTTATTGTGTATTATTATTGACCAAGGAATGATGAAGAGTATATAAATAATACAATTAAAATCTTGTCTTTGTGGCTTTTGACCCTGAGGTTTGTCCACATCTGCAGGAATGTTTCAAAGCAAATTTAATTAACGCAACAAAGCAGCAGCAGAAGGAACAAATATTCACACTACCTTACCACGCTTCTCTCATAATGAAGACAAAATGTACATATAGTCGAAATAAATAAGAATAAATTATCCAAACAGAATAAACGACGGCAGATAATTGGGTTAGTAATGTCTTGGCTTGGTCATTTCCTCCAGGTTGCCCCAGCTCCAGGGGACAGGAGTTCTGTCACTTTGCAGCACAACTCCAGGCAGTGCATCACTGATTTTGCAAAATCTGCAAAAACAAATATTAACAACATAAAGGTTAAATTATGATGTTGTTCATATAGCGAAAGAAGTGTTTGACATCTGATATAATAGTTATGATCTACAGTATGCAGCACATTTATAGGCTGACTCTCACCAGATCCTTGTAGTCCGCTGAGCTTAACACAAGGGTTTGGGATTTCTCAAAAGGAGATGTATTTCAGATGCATTGCAAAAAACAAAAACAAAACAATTATTGTATGTGATTGGATAATAAAAGCGTATACAAATCAATAAAAACAACCGGGTAAATGAGAGTTTCTATAAGTTCCTATCTCTTAAAAAAAAGTTTGGTTCTGTCATTGGTTTCCACATGCATGTACTTTTTGGCATCTTTAAATCAGAAAAGGAAAGGTCTCAGCTCTCCGTATGTAAAAGATGACAGCATGTAGTTGTCTGATTTCTTTACCATGTGTTACTGAAGCTAGATCCTTTCTGTAGGGACAAACTAAATATATTACTGAACCAAAACAACTGCCAAAAACATATCACATTTCATGTTGCTTACTATCAAGACTCCAAATACAAGCTTCTCACTCTGAATCACAAACACGCAGCCATTTCACAAATCTTTTAATGATTTGTGACCCCATTGTGGACAGAGAAATTGTGGAATCATGCACCCATAACTTCTCACTTAATCTGTATTACTCTCATCACAACAGAGCAAGCCACTCTATCAGTAAATGCTAATCTGCTAATTAACAAGCTAATTAGGCAATTACAGCTTTGCAGAAGGATGCCTAAATGAAATATGACAACACAGTCACTTTCTACAGCACCTGTGGGTCTTTTCAGATGTTACAACGAGAGGCATGATGACAGAGTGTCGCCTCCTCGCTCCTAGCTGCTTATTCTTATGCCTTGCTTGGCTCATTTGTAAAAATATTGTCGTTTGATTTATCCTAATGAACAACGCACATGGAAATAACTTGTCACATTATGAGCAACATTTAGCCATTTATTTGAGTGCATTGTGTTCCTGTCAAGTTGGGTTCAAGTGATGTCACAATATTCTGCAATCCCACAGTTTATCAGCACAGTTTACAGGTGACATCATCCCTCAGACAAACAGCAGCCACGAGAGATGAAGAAGCAGAAGTGCAAAAAACTGTGAAAAGAATTTCAATGGAATATTTAAGTGAGACAAAATCTAAATATAAGAGGTAAGTACATTACTCTGGGTGTTCTAAAATGTTTGTATTGATTTTAGTTAAATATTGGCATTTGTAAATTAGATAGATTGTTTTTTATTTGGTATTAATCCTATGTTTTCCATAATGATATTGTAATAACAACTAATCTTCAATACATGAAATATAAATCCACCAATATTGATGTATCTTTTGTTTAAATGGGACAGATAACGGGCCAAAATACATGATTTTTGTTACTGAATCGTATCGAATCATTTAGAAATATATCATATCTATTTAAAAGTCCCATGATACTAAATATTTATTGTATCATGCCATGCACGATACGTATCATATCGATAGGCTGAAAGATACCCAGCCACAAGCATTAAAGATCTTACAAAAAAGGCTGTGAGATTTGTATGTAAGGCCCACTAAAGAACATCGTAATTTGGCCGCCGCCTCCCGCTTCTGTTTGGTCTGTTGTAATGTCAATCTGTTTGTCTTAACCAATTAGTGTTAACTGTGTAATTAAGCAGCATCTTACAGCAGAGGCCACATAGACTCAAAAACAACTTCTGTTTTAATTATTCCCAACACTACTCCCCAGATTCCTACTGCTGCATGTTTGGGTGGTCGGGGAAACCGGAGCGCACGGAGAAAACCCATCCAGACTTGTGGAGAAACGAGGTAAAATCCCATTTAAATGAATGAGTGGACACATTGCAGGTCTGAAATGGTCACTCTGGATGTGACATGACAATCTGTATTTAGTAACCCTCTTCTGCGACTGTTTCTTTTTGTGGGTATTACAGGTTTATATTTTTTTTATTTATTGTGAGGCAAATCCTTAAAGCTAGGGCACATAACATTCAATCCACAAAGTAATTAACTAACTAAATTTGTAGTTCCCATAGCCCTCAAAACAGTACTATTGTTGGCCTCTCTTGCTCGTCTCTCATCATCACTGGGCAAAAGATAAATGTTTTCTAATAACAGAAACAAAACCTGGGGTGGGCTGATTTGTTAAAAAAATTTCCCCCACAAACTGTAAATTCCGCCTGTGAGTTAGATGTCCCTGTGCTCTCTTTCTGAATGAATGACTAACATCAAACTCTACAACGTGATGCAACCTTTTTACCGGAACTATATAAAATTAAGTATCTCACTGTAACATCTTTTCTTCTTTCTCGTTGTATAAACTTCAGGCGAGGCGCATAAGCAGATGTGGCGTATGGAAATGAATTATGTTGACACATGAGTGAAAACAACAGTGAACGGGCCCGCCATGCCACACAATGAAGAATCATGCAGTGAAACAGAGGAGAGGAGCCCGCGCGCCACCTTTTGAGCCCCTTTTGACAGCTGTGCAGTGAGACTTGACAGCTCAGTATTTCCATGATAAATGCAGTAGTGCTGGGACTTCCATTCACGGAACTCACAACAGCGTCGCTCCTATACTTCAAGGTCAGAGGAACGAGTGCAGCCATGTAGCCCACCAACGACCAGGCCGAGCTCGCACTGTCAGGCGGCCAAGTTACAATCAATAGGCCTTCCACGTTATAAGTGTCTTGCAATCAGGCATAACTGGTTGGGGCACATGGGCAAACATTTAGAGAAAAAAGAAACGGAAATGTTTGAAATAGTGCTATTATTAACAACTGTTTTGAAATTCGGTCAATTATTATTTTGATTCATGGATTGGTTCCCAAAATATAGATCAATCAAAACCTGTACAAAACTGTTATATTTTGACATTTTAGAAGTAGCTGAGCCATAAAATATCTTCTCTGCATATTTAAGATGATGGTTCAAAAAACAATGAATTACTAAATTAGTTGACAACTATTTAATTATTTGATTAGTGACGATGAATCATTAACTTGTTACAGCCAATATGAATTTAAAGGTGGATATTAGCAGTGTAAACACAAGACATCTTTCCTTTCTTAGTCAATATAACATTACTTGTCCCTGTTCGAATACTATACATGCAAAAAATGGCCAATCAATTTATTAAATTTTTTTAAACATAATATACAGCACCCAGACATGCAAACAAAAGACAGCTTTTAAGATTTCGGCAGGAAAGGTTTTACACTTTTATCAATTTATGTTGTTTCATTTAGCTTTTATGGAATTAATACTAAATACATATTATGAAATCTAATACTATTAAAGTATCATTAGTACTTCTTGAATCCTAATCAACATTATTAAATTAAAAATGCAATATTTTTTGTGCAGTCATTCAAATAATTTGCATATTTGCCCCTGTATATGATAATAAGGGTAGTTACCGATGAACTCATTAGGCAATACTAGAAGACACTGCATTGATGTCCACTTTTACATTAGGTACGTGTTATAATCCCTAACGCATGTGACCTAATGACTTCCTAAGCCAAACGAGTCCCCCGAGAGATAATGTCTACTATCTCAAGAGTTTTAATTATAACAGATAGCACCTAAATGGCACTGATAAACAGCAGTGTGATTTAAGATACAGCTCCTAATGAAGTCTATAGTTCACACTCCATCTTGCAAACAGTACAGTGGGAAAGATTGGACTGCTCACTACCCACACCTGCAGGTAGCAAGTATTCTACAGCCATATATGTCACATTTTAACATGTGGTTTGCAGCTTATACCCTCAGATAAAATCTTAGTGCACAAACAACATTGTCACTGAAAATCAAAAACAGAATTACACACAAAATTAGAAACAAAGTAGACAATACTTTAAATATAATCCCTGTATTGAACCCCCTTGCATGTAAGTGAAGATAATGCATTCATGATTAAAATCTGTTGTAGCTGCTGTGTGCGCTCTGAACAACACAAACTTCAGTCCCTCATCCTGCATCCAGCTCAACAACGAGTCTGCTACCATAGCAACTGCGGAGGAGCGCGCAGCAGCGCCGCCTGCGTGCTCTGTGCGTGTCACTCGGGGCAACGGCCAATGAGAAGTTGGCTTCTTTTTGTGCGGAGCTCGTGAAGATGGAGGATAGAGAAGGCGGGCCGCAGCCCCACGCGCCAGCTCTGATAGGCCGCTGGTGTCGTCAGTCTGCATCACTGCGCACTGTGATTGGTGGAGGAGCTGGAGTTAGGAATAATATAAACATGTCTTCGAGTTGGCCGTTTTGAAGAGAGGCGCACGATGGACTATGCAGCTGCACATCAAACTGTGTAAAAGTCTCATTATGTATTTGCCTGTGTTGTAGCAGGATACATCTTTATTAGTGGTTTGAACTAAGCTGCAAGTGCACGCGCGGAGACACGGAGACGCGCCTGCGAGAGGAAAGAAAAGGAGCGCGAGAGGGACATCATTCTAATCACCAGCCAACTACTTGCTCTTAACATTTGGTTTTTTGGTGTTCAGGCGAGAAGTGACAAGAATATAGACCCCTCCTCTACAGGGCGGAGCGTGCATCCTCACAATTTGTATTTTTTATTTATTTATTGTATTTTTTTTTTTTCGTATTTTCTCCCAAGCCCTGTTCCCTGGCTCTGACACGTCTGCAGTGACTGAGTGAGTGGCATTGGCACACTGTCAATCGCTCACTAGCGCTGCCATCAAACAACATAAAACACACACAAGGCTCAGGCTGCAGCTCATAAATTTGAGCAGGGCGAGAGATTTTTCCTGCGCGTCGCCTTTGCTCTGCACCGCAGCCTAATTATTAATTTCTTGTCGCCAGTGATTTTTTGTAAGAATTTATCAAAGTTTCTATTTTGTCTTTTATTTTTAAAGCTATTCGTGCAAAGCTGAGCACGTATTTTTTTCTAGATTTTGCAGGATTCTTAGAGTTGAACACCTGCTTAGACTATTTGTACTTATTTGCACAGTGGATATTTCGCTTGCCGCTGCTAAAACCACGAGGATTTTGGATTTTTTTTTTTTACATGAAGGAGGAGAATACGGAGGGAATCCCGTGCAAACGAAGAGCGTGAATAAATGAGAGATCATCAAGGAGCGTTTGTGTCTATATCAGCCGTCAACGCGCAGCGAAAAGACAGATTGGCACCGGGATACGATACGATGGACACCCACCTCATCCAGCTTTGACACTTTACTTTTAATCGAGAAGCATTTATGCATTTTTCCTCAAATACAACCACTCGTTTTGGCACTTTGGACCGTGCGTAAAATTCAACTTGGACAAAATCTACATTTTCAAGTCGCTCTCCAGCATCCATCCCCTCGCCTCTCCATCCCAGTCTGCGTATGTTGTTGTAGCCCGTTTCGTATATGAGTTTTTCAATTTGTGTGGCTCAGTGCACAGACTCTTTAGCGGCTAATATGGACGATCAAGCCCGCATCATGCAGTCGATCGGCGGCGTGAGTCTCGCTGGCCACTCGGTACAAGGTGGCATGGCTTTGCCTCCACATGGACACGATGGGACGGACAGCGACGGCAGAAAACAAGACATCGGTGACATCCTCCATCAGATCATGACGATAACCGACCAGAGCCTGGACGAGGCGCAAGCAAAGTTGGTTGATTTCTATGTTTTCTAAGTTGGCACCGTTTATAGGGACGCTTAACTTAACTCCCCCGTGCGCCATATAGGCTGTTAATGTGCTACTAATGCGTTTACGTAGTGATACCTCACACCAACTTGTCACTTTGTGGATTATTTGTTATTATCTTGCACTGTTAAAAGTGTGCGTGCACAAGTTTTATTCAAACACAAACTATGGAGAAATATATAGCCTATAGTCAGTAATGTGGTTATTTATCTGAACAATTCAAAAACAATAACAGCTTTAGTATCTGTGTAATGTACTTTAGCAGTGAACTTATTTCACTATTTGATTTTGTCTTATACTGAAACAGGAAACATGGACTGAACTGTCACAGAATGAAACCAGCACTCTTCAGCGTTCTCTGTGAAATCAAAGAAAAAACAGGTAAGACTCTTCAATGTAAACATCTCCTGTAGCTATACGTGAAAACATAGATATGGTGTGAGTTCTGCACTGGCAGCAGTCATCAGGGGTTACAAGGGGACCTCTGCCCAAACCAATCAATCAACTGTTTTTAACACGCCACATTGTGTTGTGTTACATCTTTTCCATCACTGTAAAATCCAAGATAGAAAGTGTTGTAAATCACACAAGTCATAAATATGATAGCGGTAGTTATTGTTAATGTAAAATAAAATGTAGTGGCAGAGTTCATTTTGTTAAGAATATATTTCTAATTATGTTGTTGAAAGAAATAGCTTTTATTTTATGATTTCATGATATTTATTGGTCGGATCTGAATCCTTTTTGTGGACAGTTCAAAAGACGTGTACAAATTCTTATAGTGCAAAAAAACAGTTCTGCATTTACCATATTTATATTATAAATTAAATATGTATAAAACATATTTTAGTATGAAATAATATATTTGTATCATTTTAATCTAAGAGATTGCACATGCAATCACTTTTCATGGTTAAAGATAAAATAATATTAATTGATGTTTGATATATATTACAATTGTTAAGCATTTTTGATGGGCATAATACTTAAAACAATATATATAAATATATTTAATGGAACTCTGTTAAAAACACATGTTAATTGTGTACACCTGGCAACAGCAGAGCATCATGGGGAGGACGCTGGTCCGTCAGATTTGTGACCTTTTGTGCGTTTTATGAGTAAAGGTTTTAAAGGAGACCATAAAAGTTTATGAACTTCCCTAACGCACAGTTACGCACAGGTGCAGCGTGGTCTGCCCCACTGTCTGTGTGACTGAGAGCTCACACAATCATGCAACAAGTAAACATTATTACATTATTCAGGTGCGCAGAAAAGTGGGCATCAAATTCAATTTTTCACCAGAAGAAAATGTGTCCAAACTCACACAGGCAATTATTTGTTTTTGAGAATAATTATTAAAACACACACACTGGTTGTCAATAGCATTTTTTGTGTAGATTTTTGCCTATTCATTCAGTGAATTCAGTTTTTTTTCTTCAACAAAATGTATATTTTTACAACAAAATGCAAACAATATTTTTTTGTATTTTAACTAAACTTGTATTCCTCATACGCTTTATACAATATACTCATACAATTCAAACAATCAAAAAGAGATGTTGCCTTCTTATAATGATTCTAACAACTCATTATGACAATTAAGAATTAGTATTTTCATCCTTTTCAACTCAGTGGCTAAAGTGTGTTTGTAAAACTTAAGTGGAGATGCTGTTTGGCCTGGTGTTGAGAACCCTCTTGTAATTGTGGTGCGGTGCAAAGGTGTGTGTTGGAGATAAGTCTGAAGTTGTTTTTGTGCGTGTGTGTGTGTGTAAGTGTGTGTGTAAGTGTGTGCGTGTGTGCGTGCGTGGTTAACCTGTACTTGAGAGTCACTGCCTCCCCCTCTTAGCCGCTGACAGGGCTCAGCTGGTCCGGTGGCCTTGTTGACCGCGCTTTCCCCAGCACACAGCCAGCCTTTCACTGCCTCCGCGTAGCATCATTCCTGGACGCATCTTTCAACCTTTTATTGTCCCTTTTCATGTCTTCCACACACTGGGATCACTTGTTTTTCTTCTTTGGGATCCACCCATTTTTACCAAATTGCTTTTAATAATAAATTTGAACACGGTCCAAGAATCATGCCTGTAATTACCGGGCACATGTATCATGTTATCATTGTGTGCAGATGAAAAGACATCCATATGTTCAAAGCCTTACACCATTTTGACGATGTTGAGAAAGCTCCATAGCTTTTCTCTGTTGTCGAGGGTGTAGTGTTATTAACATTTGGAGGACTTTTTGAAGCTGTTAAGAAGTTTCTGGCACTCTTGTGACTGCTATTGTGAAGCCCCAGCATATTTCTGCATTGCTAATGCCCTAGAAGTATTAATTCACTTTGATATGCTAATTAGAGAGCATTATGCAAGAAATGAGATTAAGTGGCAGCATGAAGTCATTTGCCTGTCACTAAATTGAGTGTTTTTAGCAGGAGTTTTTTTTCAACCCCAAATTTTCTTGCATTTTAATAAGCAAAATGTAAGATTTGGTTGACAAGTGCTGTTCTTTGTCCTTGTGTGAATTTTTAAAAACATATTTTTTTCTATTAGAAAAGTAGGTGCAGTCCTATACCTTTCTGCTTGTGAAAGCCTGTGTGGGGACAATGGATGCATTGAGTTGAAATGGTGTGCGATTCAGATGAGTTCTGCAGCTCTCTTTGCCCTGTGTGCTGAGTTTGTCTTCTCCTGCTGGTTACTCCCTTCTTGTCTGTGGAAGAGCAGCAGCAGCAGTGGGAGCAGCAAGAATAACAAAGGTGAAAGATTACCTCCATATGGTATTTCTGACCAGGAAAAGAGAGGTTCAGTGGCAAGACCCCTCTTTGATGTGAGCTTTAATCAATAGAAAGAGATTACAGAAAACTATTACAGGCTAAATCACGCAGTGCTACGGAGAGGCTCAGCGCGTCTCCGCTGCTCTCCCAGCTGCGTGGCGCTCCTTTTGGCTGCGTATTGACTTGTTGTTTTCATGACCTTTGACTGGGCAGGTTCACAAGCGGGGGGATGTCTGCAGAGGTAGAGACGTGTCAGCGCCACTCCAACTGTTTGAAGAAGTAGATTATGGGAAAACTCCTCTTATATCCCCAAAGCACTCATTTTGGCACTCTGTTTATAATACTTTTTAGGAGGGACATGTGAAAAAAAAGAATGCTGTCTTAATATTGAGCGAGGACAGTGCGGTAACTAAATACAATGTTGGATTGGCTGTAATTAACCACATGCAAGGCTGACTAAAAGCATTACCTGCTGTAAATAGAGTTAAGTCTGAGTAGGTAAGCATTTCTGAAATCTTCTGGGAGTATTCATTTCAATATTCCCTGACATTCTTAATGAGTCTTCGGACTACTAATGACTAAATAGAAGTAAATGAATCAAATTGCTATTCATTTTTGCCTGTAAAGCTACAAGCATGCGTCTATATTGGTGCCGCATTTATGTAAAGCTACAGTAGCAAGCTGGGGGAACACAAAGCCATTGAGCGGCAGAAACAATTGACTTTGCTCGCTTTTTTGTCTGCGAGACCCCAGTGATGCGGCTGCGCTGACTAGATAGCGTTGTGGAGCGAATGGCGCGCACACAGCTGGGGTCCTGACTGTCGCTCTGGCTCCGCTTCCTCCTCTAAAAGCTCGGAGAGGGACCAGGGACCATGTGCCTTTTATCTCTGAGCACTTCCCCAATACCCATCAGCCCACATGAAAAGCCGGGACAGAGCCAGACAAAGACGCGCACAAAGAATCAACCCAATGCTTTGCTATTGGAGATAGATACTTGAGCGTCGCTGCTGCTCCTCAAATTGCCCATGTGTCCCGGCACAGGCTGACATCCCCTTCATCTGCTCTCCCTCTGCCCCGCTCCGAGCTATTTCCACCCGGCTCCTGCGCGATCAACAGCTCATAATTGTTTTTTGCACATACGTTATGCAAATGAGGTTTTATGGCAACTGGCATAACAATTAGCATCCTCCAACAATATTTTAGTAGGTTAATTGCAAAATTTCTGAATTGTACATCTGAGTTGTTAATTAGGCATGACAGAGGTGGTGAAATAGTTATCTCCAGGCAGTGGCAGCCAGCAAAAGCCTGCTTGGGATGCAAAAGGGAAGGATTGATTGAAATGACTGCGCAGCACAAGGAGCAGGGGGCTGCTGTCTGCTTGTTTAGAAAGAAGCTGAGTAAAAAAGTGTGGACAACAAGCCGTTTTTCGATCATATTTTAGTGTTTTACTTTTATATTGGTACTTAATCTAATATTATTGAATTTGCCTTTTACGTTTGATCACAGGTTGAAACGAATAGGCTTATGAAATATTAATATATGGCAGAGCCGAGTTTTTTTTAATTCTTTGAAGTAAAAAAAGTGCAAGAATAAAAACTGATACAAGAAATAATGCATTCAACTTTACGCCCTTATTAAGGAAAGATCAAATTAAGGATGTATTATTTTTTATTACCGCACACTTTAATTAAGCACTGGGCATGACATGCAGGCGTTTATTTATTTTCCCCTCTCCGATCAAGTCTCCGGTGTCACCGCGTTCATTACTGTTTCAGAGTATATGTAAAGCCATAGAGGCTGCTGTTATTAGTGTAAAAAGGGTTGAGAGTGAAAGACTGGTGCAAAAGCAAGTCCCCTCTCCCAGTAATGACGCTGCTATTTATAGGTCCCTATTTCATTAGGTCTAGTGTTTCAGGGAAGACTTTTTCTCATGGGACAATAGACAGCATGTTCATTTACTCTGTACACATTACATGCAGACTGATAACTGACCTACAGTTAGGGGCTGCTGGAAAGACGCATACAAGTATTTTGTTTGTCTCTGGTATGCCTTAAATAAATCATATTCACTCCTACAGGTGATTTTCCCTCTTTTGTCGAGGACATGATCAGCAGTGAATATAGTGCATAGTTAATAGACTCATTTACATAGACCTTTTGACTCTAAAATAGCTGTACCATAAGAATTGTCGCCTAAAACAGAGCGCATGAAAATATGCTGTTTCTTCCTCATTTACAAGCCTTGAAAATGAAGTCCCACTCCCCCATTGTTCCATATGCCATTGTTCCACATGTTTCATACATTACAATGATATATTGAAGGCAGAAATGGGAGAAAGACTGCAATGCAATGAAATTTTAATCAGCGTCTTCTGCTGCTTTAATAAGGCAAATAATTCTTATTGGCTGCTGCTGTGTTAAGATTTCTAATATTTAATTCATAACAAACCTTGCATTATTCTGCTTTTGCCCTAAGACAAGCTTCTCTCTCTGCCGCTGAGCCAGAAGTCAACCAGGGAACCGCACACTGAGCACTTTTCTTGATCTGTTATGGTGAGATACATTTTTTATGGATGCCGTCCTTGTATGCATTTTTTATTTTAATTGTAGTCGA